ACACATGTATGATCCATCTACTATTTTGGAGACCTTACTCTTGGTCTTGTGATATTTCAGGAGTGCTTATGTAGAATTTGGTTTATCCTTCTATCTTCTTTCATTTTTACCACATGCCCAGAACATATCCTTTTCTGGTTGTGTGTGTCCTTGAAGATGTCTTTTATGTCTCTTCTTTCCCATTATTCTTTCTTACCCCTGGATAATTATCTATTGTGTCTGAGAGAACAAATAGGGCTGTGATAATTGTCCAGTGAGTATATAAGCAGTAGGTAATGAAAACTAGTGTTCTTGGAAGCTGTGTGAATAGAGCCATAACTAGCAATTTTAAGGGCCTGCAGGAAAAAAAGTGCACCCTGTACAAGCAAAATTAAACTCACCCTTCAAATTTGAGGGGGAATCTACCTCTGTGGATGGAAATTCTGGAGCATTTTACGGCATCTACTGGGAGATCATCATCTGGGGAAGGGGAGGAGGACTGAGCACATTAGGCCAGGGATGCCTCTATGAGAGGAGAAACTACATGGAGCATCTTGTAGTTTCCTCTTTTAACTAATCATTTTGGCTAACTAGAAACTAAGCTCAGCTGTTTCTATACTTTGGAAGTATTGCAGGTGCTCTCAATGCCCTCTAAATTTTGACAAAAATTTGGGGAAAAGTCCTGGGGAAAAGCCTTGATCATCCCACCCTATTATAGCTCTGGGTGTGAATGGAAACATATGCCCTCTTCTCACTATTTTTCAGAGATATATCCTTGCCTTTGTTTCTCCTCCAATATGTAAATTTGAAAAATTCATGTTATGTATAGGGGAGACAGGGTGGCATAGTAGAAACAGCATTGGCCAGAGAATCTGGAAACAAGGATTCTAGTCATAGCTTGGCTGCTAATTTGCGGTATGACTATGGGCACATCACAATATTCCTCTGTTTCAGTTTCTGTAAATGAAGGAGAAGGACTAATGAAGCATTATATATGTTCTAGATCTAAGATTCTACAATTCTGTTGCTTCATTTACACACATTAAATCTATGCCATTTGGCTGAAAAAACAAATTCTAGTTATTATCTCGTTAGAAAAATTGAACTTTGAACCCAGGTTTGCTATGCTCTTGGTAAAATACTTTTATTATTATTGAAATTATAATAATTAACATTTATAAAGCACTTTATGATTTAAAGCACTTTCCTTAAGGCAACTTTGCAAGAGTTATTATTTTCATTTTACCAATGAAGTAATTGAGATCACACAGTTTGCGTGTGGCAAAACCAGGACTAGAAGGAGTTCTCTTGACTCCCAGATTAGTGTTCTTTCATTCAAACAACCATTAAATTACCGCTCAAACATTTGTTAAACTCCTGCTAAGTGTGAGGCACTGTGCTAGATGCTGGAGACATAAAGTTGAAAAACAAGAAAGTACTCTAAGAATTTATAGTAAAAAAAAAGAATTTATAGCCAACTAGGAAGTATGGGTTAAGTCTAAAAATAAATGGATACAAGGTAGAGTGTGAAGGGGCAAAGGAGAGAACTTTACTTGATCTAGGTAACCTTGAGAAAGGAGAAATCATTTGTATGTGGAAGATCAGGAAAGCTTCCTAAAGGAGGTAGCACTGAGTTGAGCACTGAATGAAGAGAAGAATTTCACAAATTGAGCAGAGAGCAAGAGAGTACGTTCTAGGCATGGGAGATGACTTCCCTAAACATGGGGTGCAAGAATGAAGGACAAGATGGGAATAAATGTCAAATTCTACATTTGGATTTATGAGTTAACTTGCACAAAAGTTGGGTGGGGAAGACTTGGCCAGACAACAATTCGTGTATAGAATTTGGAGTTTTTAATAGATTACAAAATGAATATGAGTCCGCATGTTCACAGAAAAAGCTATAATGTTATCCTTGTTTACAGCAATACAAGCATAATTTCTAAAATGGGTCCATGAGTCCCACCGCAGCTACTCTGAGTCAAATGAAAGGATAAGATGCAAACATAACTGGAATGCACAATGGTTAGAGCACTAGACTTGGAATCAGGAAGCTCTAAATCCAAGTTTTACCTCAGATTCTTACTAACTGTGTGACCCTGGACAAGTAACTTAACCTCTGAAGAAATTTAGTTTCCTCATCTTTAAAATAAGGATAATAATAGTACTCACCTTACAGGGTTGTTGTGATGATAAAATGCGACAATATATGCAAAATACACTGTACATCATATAAACATCAATATATATATATATATGTATGATTACATGTACATAATATGTATAAACAAGATAATATCTGTAAAATTCTTCAAGTACTATATGAATGTTAGGTATTGCTATTATTATTTCTCAGAACTCCCATAGCACTCTTTGTCTGTAGTATTTGTTTTGGTACTTAGCTATATAATAAAAATCACACTTCATGTGTCGCACATTGTAGGCAAAACAGGTTACAAAACATTTTCATGTCTGTGACCCTTTGAGTTGAGAGCAGATAGAATGACTTGTTCAGTGTCGTGTGGGGACATGCTGTTGAAGTCCAAAAAACTCAGAAGAAAAGGTGGGCCCCTTCTCAAAATGGAGGTCCTAGGAAGAAACCGTAGTGGGAGAAAGGGGCTGGCATGATGAAAGGATGAACCAGAGTGAGGAGGTTGCAGAGGGAGAGGCATTTTTCAGGATGAGATCCCAGGTCCTGAGGCAGCTGCACTGTGGCAAGGTCCAAAAAGTCAGAAGCAAAGTCCAAAGGGGGAGGCCATAACTGCCAATTAACTATGCTATTCATTTTTAAAGGTACTATCCAGTTTTAAATCAATCGTTCCATGATTTCATTTGAACCTCACAATAACCCTATGAGGTAGATGTTATCATTATCAACATTTTATAGATGAGGAAATGTCTTTTTCTAATTCTAGCATAAGATGTTCACTATTAGACAGTATACAATAGGAAGACAGTAATGGGAAATGCCAAATGTCCTTTTGGAAAGATAGCTGAATATTCAAATTGGAGGGAATTCTTTCTGCTTTTTGTCTTCAAAATGATCCTATAAGAATGATTGGTTTTGTTTGTTTGTTTTCATGCAATAGAAAGAGACCAAAAAGTAGTTGCTGATTAATCCAAGTAAGATTTCAATAAAATAATTTCAAACATGTTTAAGATTAATCTGGTAAACTTTATAATTTTCTTAGCAGAATATATGAAGACAATACAGAGGGTAAGTAGACTGCTTGTCCCAGGTCAAAAGGCTAAGTTTGGAAGGCCATGAGACAGAAAAAAATTAGGCGTGGAAGTGCAAATTGAAATTACACAGCATGAAACAGAAATGCCCTTTTGGGGTAACCACCAAAACCCAACAACAACAACAACAACAAACTGGTTGAGCTCATTAGAATTTGCTGTTGGAGCCTGATGGCTCCTCCTCTTTGATATCATAGCAGAGAGGGCGTGGAAGCCCAGTCATTGAGCCCCAACCCAGAGCCTAGTGGCCTTTGTGTGGGACCAGCCACGGGTGAGCTTGCATTCCTGCTGACGCCAATGCTGGTGGTTTGGCTTTGTGGATCTCTAATCTCAGCGACAAGTGCCTCTTAGAGAAAGGGCTAGGAGTTTGCTGTTCATCATTAACCCTTTCATTGTAATTCCTAGGAAGCTGCTGTGTTGGGTACTGGATTGTTCTCTTCCTTTGTATATTTTGAAACAGGTGCTGCTATACTTCTGCTAAACATCTTTATAGGTTTTCCAATAGAGATTTGAGACCTGTTTCCTTGGCCTTTAGCCTGAATTTGACCTGGGGTCCAGCAACCTGCAAATGGCAAAGGTTATGGAGCCTGAAGTCATTTCCCAAGCACATTACATCTCAGGCAGCACAGGTTTGTAGATTTAGAGGAAGAAGGTACCCAGTTATCTAGGTCCATCTAGCCCAATCCTCTCATTTTACAGATGAAAAAAAGCAAAGATACAGTTTGATGACTTGCCCAAGGTTACATAGGGATTGTAAAGTCCTTGAGGGCAGGAACTGTTTATTTCCCCACTTTTGTATCCCTAATGCTTAACACAGTGCCTGGCACATAGTAGGCACTTAATAAATGTTTATTGAATTAAATTGAGTATGTGGAAGAGTTTGAATTGATTGCACTTTCACTCTAATCCCAATCATCTTTCCACTATATCCTGCTTTTCTTTTCCTAGGCTAACTATGGCATTAACCCAGGATCAAGTCATAACTGATATATTCCTCCTTGTTTCTTCTTATTCTCCCTGAAGGGTTTTGTGTGTGTGTGTGTGTGTGTGTGTGTGTGTGTGTGTGTGTGTATGTATTTGTGTGTAAAAGAGAAAGGGAGCTAGAAGGAGAGATGGGGATGGAGGCAGAGATTTGTGTGCACACACATGTATGCATGTATACATGAGTAAGAGATACAGAGAGATAGAAGGAGATGGGGAAATAGGCAGAGGGAGGGAGGCAGAGACGTGTGTATGTAATTTTCATTTTTATTGTCTTCTGTGCAGAGGAAACACCTCATTTTTGCCTCTCATTCTCTCCTCCTCCTGCTTCTATTCCTCATAGCAACTTTTTCTTTTCTCAGCTCAAAAACAAAATTAACCAAACCCAGTCAAAATGCAGTATTCTCATGTAGGAGGTTAAGATAACAAATGCATAGTTTTTTGTAAACTTTAAAGCATCATATAAATGCTAGCTATTCTTATTATTGGGGCAGCCAGGTGGCACGGTGGGGAAAGTGGTGGGCCTGGAGTCAGGAAGACCTGAGTTCAAGTCTGGCCTCAGACACTTACTGGCTGTGTGACTCTGGACAAATCATTTAACCCTGTTTGCCTCAGTTTCCTCATCTGTGAAATGAGCTGGAGAAACAAATGCAAACCACACCAGTATCTGTCAAGAAAACCACAAATTGGGTCAAGAAGAGCAAATCATTATTACTATTATTGTGAAACATCGTGTTATATAAAAGAATGTTCTCCAGTCCACTAATACATTGATGATGACACATTTTCCTCCCCACCAGGAAACCTCTGTATGGATTATTTCAATATAGTCCCAGCATGCTTGGACTTGAGTCACTTCCAGATCCCTCAGACACCTGGGAGATTATAGAGACCATTGGGAAAGGCACATATGGAAAAGTCTATAAAGTAACAAATAAGAAAGATGGGAGCCCTGCAGCTGTAAAAATCCTGGATCCAATCAGTGTGAGTAAAATTAGCAACAGCAATCACATGGTGGTTTTTTTTTTCCCATTCTTTTTAATGCTCACTGAAGTTTCCACTTATTTTCCTGGCCCTTTGTAAAGGTACACATTTTCCTGAAACCCAGCAGGGACTTGAAAGCATTTTGAAAAGGGTAATGAGTTGTAATCACAACTAAGAGAAAGAGACATGGCTAGAAATTTGCCTGGTTTTTATCTTATTGACAGTTCTGTTGTTGCTATTGTCAAGGCGTTACGCCTGGATTCTTAACTTTTGAAATCATTCTCTTTGAAAGACTGACTCGTGTCACTCGTGGGCTATTGGACGGTGGCAGTGTAATTACAAAATGACCCCAACTCAGAACATTCAGACATAGTGAGTTGACAGCATAAAGGAATAATGTGTGCTTATTTTCTCTCTCAGCAGGGTGAAGAAAATTAAGCCTTTTTTTTTTTTTGGCCGCAGCATACTAGGCACCAAGGGTATAATGTGGCCTGATTTATGCATAATGAGGTTATGTGCATCCTGTCCTGCATTAGGCCTCTTGGAGCTAAGCAGCTGACTGCATTGATAATGCCATTAAAAAAAAAAACAACTTGGAGGAAAAAAGAGAATTGTAAAAAGTTGTACTATTAGCATGATGGGTGATTTTTTTGGGGGGGGCAATTGAGGTTAAGTGACTTGCCCAGGGTCACACAGCTAGTAAATTTCTGAGGCCAAATTTGAACTCAGGTCCTTTTGACTTCCACTGTACCACCTAGCTGCCCCTGCTGCTGAGTGATTCTTAATTGGGACTTAAATGTTTGAATATTTTTAAGCCAAAATGTTTTGGAGACATTGCGATGACAGCGGCATTCAAATTATTGTGCAGATATACTTCATTAAATATTTATTTGGCTATGATGATAAATTTGTCTTCTTTCCTTGGAGAGATGGACTTAATCCAAGATATGTTTTCCTCTAATTTAGGATATGGATGAAGAGATTGAGGCAGAATACAACATTTTGCAATTTCTTCCAAATCATCCAAATGTGGTCAAGTTTTATGGAATGTTTTATAAAGCTGACCCAAATGTGGGCGGACAACTATGGCTGGTCCTAGAGGTAAGAGGGGATGGGTTGGGCATGCTGAATCTGGCTTTCACCTTCAACTTAGGAGGATAAGACACCTTCTCTTGGCAATAATATTTTGCAATGAACATTTGGACAATCGTTTGTACTTGTTGTCCTTTCTCTAATAGACCCTTATGAAATGATAGCGATCTTCAAAAAATAACCAAGTCAGTCTCCTGCGTATTAAGCATATCTTGTTGCTTAATGCATTTGCCTATCTTGGTCTTCAAGTCTTGGCATTCTTCTTGTTTCTAAACCAGAATGTATAATAGCAGGAAAGAATGGCTTTTGACTAGCAAAGACACTTTTTCTCCAAAGCCTTGGAAAAGGTAGATAGGAATCTCATTTTCACAAACTTGATAACCCAAATTCTGTTTAATCTGCAAAAATTACATTGGCTTCATTCATATGTACCAGTTTTTTTTTTTACCAGCTTTTTCCCTCCCCTCCATGTGGTTAAGATAAAAGATTATTAGTGTCTGGATACAAGGGAAGAATTTCTCCATTATTTTTGACTGATGGGTCAATTCTCTTTAGCCCTACCTGGACATTTTTAGACCTTGAGCTTCTAGACCAAAGCTTATTTTCAGGGCGCAAATGTAAACCACACATGTGAAGTGCCGGAGGTCCTTGGAAGAAAATTAAAATGGGAAAGGCAGATTGCCTGATTTCCCTTTTAGGCTCTTCCTTCCTTTTAGTTTCTATCATCTGATTATGTAGAGGCCTCAGGACTGTACTAATTGGCTGTGCTCTTGTATGGATTGACTTTGTGAAAGTCAGACGTTAGCTCTGAGGGACGAACAGGTTGAAGGGAAAGAAGCTTCACCATTTCTGTCCCATTAATGGTCTTCCCCTCCCAAAGTGGGATGTTGAGGGGTTTGGCATCCAGGAGATCTTGGACTATTTGGTTGACTAATTAGTTTATATTAGAACATTCATCTATTATCCTCCCATATTTTTGAAACTGTAATTTTACCCTAGAAATTGGCTTTAAAACAAAAAAATTCCATCCCCTCCCCCCAAATTGGAAAGTGTCATTTCTGGAATTAAAGATTCAGTTGTCATCCATGCTGTTGCATTGCAAGGTTTAAGTCATTGATCAGTAAGTCTAAATTTCTGCTTGTTTATACCTGACTCCTAAAAGATAAGTAGGGAAGATGCCTTTTTAGAATTTCCTAGTTTCTGCAACTCAGACTGAGGAATTTTCAGGTACCTTTATTTCTGCTTTAGCCTAGTGGTCAGACCTCCTTGTAAATGCTGTGATCAGACTAGCCAGCCAGAGATATGTTTGCTAGATCAATTCCCAAATGGATGTTGCTTGTTAAAGATAGTAACCAAATGGTGACCCTCACAAGTATAGGTTGGGTATCTCTGAAAAGACTCCCTGTGTCTGTGTAAAATGAGAAGCAGCCTGAAAGTATCTGCTGATCCCTAGACAAACTTTATTTTACCCCACTGACTGTCTCATGTTCAAAGTTGGATAATTAGGCTGAATTACTCACTGAATTATGCATGCACCCCCGCAATATAATATCCTTGAGATTTATGACTTCTGCATAAAAGTTGTTCTGTGGATGGGCCAGACTTGTTGGCATGGTCATTGGGAAGTTCTGGGGTCCTTTCTTTGCTGCACTTAAGTCGCAAAGGTCATTTGCTGGATTGCTAGCTCCAGTCTCTTCAATGGCTGTGATTTTATATAGAATTGTAGAATGACATATTATTCAGAGCTGGACTGATCCTTAGAAATCATCTAATTCAACCTCCTCATTGATGAGTAAGCTGAGAGGCTAATTTACTTGCTTAAGTTCTCAGTCAGTTAATTGCAGACTTAAGTCTCTAACTTGGGTTTCCTGACTTCCAGATCAGATATTTTTCTATGATACCACCCTGCTTTATCATATACTAAAGTCTGTCACCATTTGGATTTGTCTGGTATCAGTCCACCTTCTAGTCTTTCCCAGCCTTGTCTTTCTCCACTCTAGTCCATCCTCCATGCAGCTTCCAATGAGATCTTCATAAAGTACAGGTCTGACCAGTCACACCCTCTTTTCCCATTCAATAAATTCCAGTGGCTTCCTTTTACCTCCAGGATCAAATATAACATCCTCTTTTTAGCTTTTAAAGCCCTTCATAATCTGGCCCTTTCCAACCTTTCTAGTCTTCTTATACTTTAATCCCTTCCATGTACTGTACAATCCAGTAATACCAGCCCCTTTACCTTTCCTCTTACAAGACACTCCATCTCCTGACTCTGGGTGTCTTCACTGACTGTCCTCCATGCCTCATCTCTGACTCCTGCCTTCCCTGACTTCCTTCAAGTCTCATCTAAAATCCTACCTTCTGTAAGAACCCTTTTTTGGTACTGCTTAATTCTAGAGCTTTTCCTTCCGAGATTGTCTCCAATTTACTGTGTATATGTATTGTGTAAACATAATTGTTTGCCTGTTGTCTCCCTCCTTAGATTAAGAAACTCTTTTTGCTTTTCTTTGAATTCCCAGAGCTTAGCTCAGTGCTTGCTGTGTAATAAGTTCTTAATAAAAGCTTGTTGACTGACTGACTGACTCCATTTGTGGTGGAGATGAGAGTTTTGGACTCATCTTCTGCCATATGCATAGCATTGGTAGAACTCCTCATAGTAGACTAGCTAAATGTTCCTGGTAAGAGCCACCCTCAGGTGGGTAGCAGCCCACTGCTGTTTCTACCTCTAAGTACAGGTCACTGAACAAGTGCCCAGATATTGCATAGACTAGTTTTACTCCATAAGTCCATAAAATAACTATTCCCTTCTCATAGGTTGAAAAGCATTATTGAATCTAGAGTTTCCAAATCTTTGTTGATGCTTAATTATCTGAAATTTTAATTTCCCTCCATTTAAAATTTATTTATTTATTTTTAATTTATGGAATAAAACAAGCATTTCCATAACATAGTATGATAAAAAAAAAAGATGATTGCATATGAAACTGCAAATCTATTATGCACAACTTGCTGTTCCTTTTAAATATATAATTCCTTCCATTTTTTTGCTCACCTTTCAGATACATTGATGGAGTCAAGGATACAGAAATTTGTTCAGTTAATGTGAAATTCTGCCATGTCCAGATGCTGCTATATAAATAATATAATTTGGGATCATGAGGATTTCTTCCTTTTCTTTTTAGGGGTATGGACAGAAATAGGGACTGGACCTGTGATTTCATTAATATAAGGTTCTTTCAGATGAAGAAAACTCCCTCTACCAGTGTAGGTTGGCCCCCTCCCTATAGCTCAGAGACTTAAGAGAGTTGTCTAAGGCACCAAGATGTGAACAAGGGCTGCGGGCCCAACAGCAGATGCATTGGTGTCAGAAGTGGGATATGAGCTCAGGCCTCTCTGATTCACAAGTCATCTCTCTAGTCCCTGGGCCATGCTGCCTCTTTTGCTCTTAAAGTCATTCAAAACTCACTTTTGGTTTCTGCTTAACCAAAATCTTTATTTCTAGGCCTCGCTTTATGTATAGATAAAGTAGATGGCTACTGACCCAAACTGTCTCCCTTACTGACCTGTCAAATGCTTGAAATTTCTAATGTCACTCCTTTGGATTCATCACCAGAAGGTTCTCTGCAAGAGGATGAACATTTCAATTATGGCAGCTCACAAAGACAGTTTTATGTCTCGTCTACAGCCCTTTGACAACCTTCTGAAAGAAGACTGTCACAAGGTTGCTGTATGTGGGAGTGGGGGAGAGTCCTCACACCAATGAATTATAGATTCCTAAGTATTAAATATGCTAAGTAATGTCATTCTGTAAGGGTCCTCAAAAGGAGCCATCTATCTTAACTGGATTAAGGTACTTCTATAATCTGGGAGGGAAAACATATGGGTTATTACACTTATTATCATATAGTAGTCAGGGGGATTCTTTTTAATAAATATTCCCAATTACATGTAAAAACAATATTTTTGAATCTGTTTTTTTTTAAATTTTTGAGTTCCAAATTCTGCCCTTTCCTTTCTCTACTCTTCCTCCCCCAACCCCAACCCTGAGACCTCAAGCAATTTGACATAGGTTATACATGTGCAATCATGCAAAACATATTTCTGTATTAGTCATGTTGTGAAAGAAAACACAGACCAAAAAAATGGAAAAAAAATGAAGTGAAAAATAGTATACTAGTATGCCTGTATTCAAACTCCATCAGTTCTTTCTCTGGAGGCAGGTATCATGAGTCCTTTGGAATTGTCTTGGATCATTGTATTGCTAAGAATAGCTAAGTCATTCACAGTTGATCATCATATAATGTTGCTATTACTCTGTTCTCTTGGTTCTGGCTCACTTCACTTTGTATCAGTTCATGTAAGTATTTCCTGCTGAAAACATCCTTCTCATCATGTCTTTCCATTATGGTCATATACCACAACTTGTTTAGCCATTCCCCAATTGATGGGCATTCCCTCAATTTCCAATTCTTTACCATCACAGAAAGAGCTGCTATAAATATTTTTGTATATATAGGACCTTTCTCCTTTTAAAATAAAATCTCTTTGAGATACAAACCTAGTAGTGCTATATTGCTGGGTCAAAGGGTATGCATAGATTTATAGCCTTTTGGCCATAGTTCCAAATTGCTCTCTATAATAGTTGGATCAATCAGTTCACAACTCCACCAACAGTATATTAGTGCTCCAGTTTTCCCACATCCCCTCCATTTATCATTTTCCTTTTCTGTCATATTAGTCAATCTGATAGGTGTATATGACTAGAGATAGCTTCGATTTCTTCATCTGAAAACTGCTTATTCATACCCTTGGACCATTTATCAGTTGGGGAGCAAGGAGGATTTTAAGAAAAGTTGTCCTAAGATGAATTTTCACAGTAAAGAATAAATTGAAGTGGTTCTTGCCTTGGTGGGGGGTGGTCCTGGGAAGCCAAGAGGCAGCTTGAGATTCCTGAGAATATGGTGGCATGGGGAATGGTAGGGCAATAAACTTCCCAGATTTATGACCTTGGA